GTTGAAGCCAATGAATGTTTTCTGAATGGACAGTGTGGTCATGATCATGCTACAATCGGTACGTGTTGTTCAGACTTTAGTGTTGCCCGTCGTGTCAAGGACAGAAAAACAAACGGGGTTCTCATGGATGTTTCTGAAAGACGGTGACTTTTGTGGGATCCAGCAGCTGGTTCTGGACTGGACTGGAGCATCATGATCATTCAAGGAGTGTGACGTAGCACCGGGTATCTGGAGAGTTTAGACTGTAGCATCAGTTTGTGCTCCGTCAACAGAAAGCACGTACAAATCTACGTACCTCTGAGGTCCAGCAACGATAAAATAAAAACATGGAGGACGGTAGAACTGTGTCATGTGACATCCGCTCAGAAATGCTGATCGTCTTCCAGTGCTACATTTAGCACCGAAAGCAGTGCAAATACTACGATGTGTGTCCAGTAGTGTGTGTTTGTACCTGTTCTTGTTGCTGGAGATCCAGTCGGAGATGTAGGCGACGGCCTGGCGGTGGCACTGCTTGTTCCCAAAGCTACATGCTAGCATGATTAGCTCCCGCTGCAGCTCCCTGAAGACCAACCCAGAGGACAGAAATGTTGTTTTATTAGTCATCATATGATCTGAAATACTTCTCGTTATTATCTCTACATTATATATGAAGATATCTGTATGAGGCAAAAATGGATAAGGACCATTAAGGTAAATAAAATAAAATAAAATTAAGACAGAGAAGGAAAATGAGGGAAAAATAATTATAAATTTAACTTAACAGAATCTACAGATTGGCGTCTGTCGTCCTCATGCTCATAAAAATCCACAAAACAGATAAAAAACGTCACATTAAACAAGCGATTGTTGTAATTTACACAATCTTTTCCATTTTTGTTTAATCTATTCATAAATTCCTTCCATTTAAAAACAACCCATCATGAACAAAGTTGATTTAATCTCCTGTAGTTGGGATGTCTGCTCTGTTCTCGTGATGCTGAAACGTGTTTCCAGCTCCAGGATCCTCTGTGGTCTCATAACCATGGTTCTGATGGATGTTCTGCAGGTCAGGTTGTGTGTTTGTGCCATAAAACCAGAGTGTGATTGTGTTTTTTTCATACTCGGTCTGGTAGGACGCCTGCAGGACGTTGCCCTCTGCGCCGGGCCCGTTGGTCGGCCAGCCCATCTGATGGTAGCGCGACGCGACCTGCTTCAGCACGTAGTCCTGTTAACACACATCATGGGGGTTGGTTAGCTCGCGGCTAATCGCCGTGAAGGCGGCGCAGTGACGGACGGACGGAGGCTTACGCTGAACAGCCGGTACTCGTCGGTGCGGTCCAGCAGCTTGTCCAGCTGGTACAGCGCTCGGCTGGCGGCGTGCCACGGCAGGAAGGACGTCTCCTCCGGCAGGTAGCCAATCAGCTGCAAGGGGACGCCCTGGGGGAGGTAGCCGGCCCTGAAAGAGACGAGGACGTCAGAAAACCAGCATCCGAGACCAGAGAACACAAAACAGAACCTTCAACAGCCTGAAACACATCATGATCATGTGGCTTTTCTGTTGTGTTTGTACATAAACAGATGAAAAATGTGTTTTTTAATCCTCTGAATCCCAAAACCTGAAAGTAGGTTCAAAAGGCAGTTTGTGTTTAAAGAAAATCAGCAAAACTCTGTCTGTCGGAGCCACAAACTGAAGAATTGGTGGATTCTCAACTTTCCGACTCACTAAACCAAATCTGAGCTTAAAATCAAGATATTTCATCAAAACCGCCTCATTCTGCACGTCTCATTTAGCAAAGAAATGCAAAAAACAAAGAGTTTGATTTAACTGGATTCTGATTAAACTGATTCCACCGAGACCAAAAGTCATGTGATGAAAATCCTGAGTGTTCGGTTGAACTGCAGGCGGCGTGTCCACAGAGCAGAGGGGATGGAAATACAAAACCAATCCAAAATGTAGATATTAAAGTATTTATAGCAGGTTGAGCCACAGTTATTTCCAGTGCTGGTAACACTTGTGGACACTTGGAGAAATGGTGTATTTTTTTATGCCGACACTTTATGAATTAAAAAATAAAAAATAAATCACGAAACTAGCTCCACTTATTCGAGCCCAAAGCTACAAAACAGATCAGATTATAAACCTTCTGATGGTCCTTGAACACATCATGTGTGACGAAAAATTAAACAAATCTGAGCCGAAAATTGTACTTCAAAAAAATCTCAAAATAAACAGTTTGCACCAGATCCTATAAAATTCAGAGTTTTTGGTTGGAGAACAGAGGAGCCAGTTGGTGGAGATACATCCAGCTGATGGTGGAACATCTTTCTAGAGTTTTTGTGCCCATTAATGTAAATAAAGTTCAAATCGTTGCTCTTTTTGTGCAAAGTCATCATTTTCTTCTCCAGTCTTGGGAACCTCTCCTGTTTCCAGGTTTTCTCGGTTCTGTTTTATGACCCCCTTGGGATTCCGGACGTCGTCTTTCATTCCTCCTTTTGTTCTTCCCGGTGGGCCCTGAAGTGAAGCCGGACCCTGATGTGGGTTTGATCTTCAACCCTGGGCTGTGACCGTCGCCGTGCCAACAAACCTCAGCGGGAGGAAATTAAGAAAAACTCCAAATGCCACCGACGGCCTCATGAATATTAACCGGCCGCCCTCGTTAACATTCATGATGTTTTAGAGTTTTTTTTTCTTTTGGGCGGCTTCACCTGCTTCCTGCCGCCGACCTTCCATCCCGCCCATCGCTCATGAATATTAACGAGGCGTTCGAGGACGGACGCTGAACTCGGCGATATCAGTTTTACTCCGATTATTGATGTTCGGCCGGCAGATAAGTGAGGAAGTGTAGACGAGGAAATTTACGAGCGACGCGCCGAACGCTGACCTTTGCGTCGGAGCTGTCAGTCAACGTGAGCGGCGCTCGCTCAGAAGAGGCAAAAAGGGATTTAATGTTCTCTCCTGGCTTGTTTTTTTTCTTCTTCCATTTAATTTCAAGAGACGGACGGACGGACGGACTGATGGACCTCCGCAGAAGGTTAATCTGCTCCAGATAAGACGCTCTAAGTCTTTAAGCATCAGGAGAAACTCTAAACTCCACGTATTTCCATAATCTGCCTCATATCCAACCCTTCCCATCATGCACCTGGCCACATTAGCATAATCCATCCGGCCGGCTTCCTGTTTACGGCGCCGGCGGGAGGAGAGATGCACATCGCCATGGCAACAGCTGCCGGCCATCAATCTGAGGTTTTTTTTTGTTGTGTTTTTTTTTTAAGTATTTTTTTCTGTTTTTCCAAACACCATCCATCACCTATCGGTCCATATCAGCTGTCACGCCGACACACATCACACTTCACTTCGCGGTTCGTTTGTCATCCATCGTCGCGGCAACAGCTGTCAAAATAACACATATAAATACGCTGCTGTAAAAAAAACGCCACCGAACGCAGCTTAAAGTGACCTTTCAGAGCGAATTCAGAGCTCGAACTTCAAGAAGAACGCTCGCTGTGAACTGTGACGATACGACGGCACACGAATGTCCCACTTTTTATGTTTTATTTAACTTTAAAGAGCCCGTATATTAAATTCACCTTCATGCTCCGATACGTCAAGACCACCAACTCCAGAAGAAGGTTCTGGGCAGGAGGAAACCATCGTCTAAAAAACAATGGTTCCTAAAGTCCAAAAGACATTACTTCATAAAGTATCACGCATGTGCAAGAAAAGCAGCAAATCAACATTTAAAATATGTAAAGGTCTGTAAAGGTTTGCTTGAAAATTAGCAACATGCTAATCGATTTTTGGCAAATCTTTAGAACCGAAACTCCAAGAAGGACAACAACTATGAACCTTTTCTGATTATTCCACCAAATATTACACTAATATTCCACTTTATATGTTTAAACTAACTTTAAAACTTATCATGTACATTTAAATCGGCCTTGTTGCTCCCTTACGTCAAGACCATCAACTTTTCCGAAGTGGTGTTGCTTAGTGGTGGTTCTGGGTTGATTTTTGGACTTTTATGGTTGTTAAATTCCAAAATTCAAACATATTTCTTCATAAACAATCCGACATGACCAAGAAAAGCAGCAAATCTATATTTAAAATCCACAATCTCATGAAGTTTTGCTTGAAAATCAGCAACACATGAATTAATTTTTACTTATTCATGTAAAAAAAATCATTTATTTACATGACAAAAACTTCTAAATGTGTAACTTTGCTTCACAGAGATGAGATTTTAGGGGCTGAATCGTTGATCAGAGAACTCCAACAGCAGCAGGTGGGTTTTAAAAGTATGTTAGCTTTAAAAAAAAAAAATGGTTAGAAATCTGTTGGTTTTATTAGGAAACGAAACCAAATCTGAGCTAAAACCGTAATATTTCATCAAAACCACTTTATTCTGGTGTCTGATTTAAAAGTAAAGATGGTGGAGGATACGTTCTGCACGGGGAAACAGGCGAGAAGAGGTTTGTAGTTGGTAACCAGTCGATTCCAGGTTGGTTTTTCCAATTTTCGTACAACAAATAATCAAAGAAAATGAAGCGTTGGTTGCTCTGTTTCCATGGAGACGCTGGACTTTGTATTGCTGAGGGAGGGAAAGTGTTGCAGGAGCAAAGAAACGGTCGGAGGGTTGAACACGAAGCATTTTAATTGAAAGGAATTTCATCCAAATTTCATAAAGCGCCAAATAAAAATAGGTTATTATTATTATCAAGGCTGAAAAGCTGAAGGATTCTCATCAAGGTCGACTCGCACAACGAGGACCAAACGGAGGTCGGATCCGCTTTTCATTCACCGGTTTTTATTTGAAATGGTAGTTTGGTTCCCGGTCGCTCCTCCTTTTGATCCGATCTCATGACCTTTGTTCTGACTCCACCGGCCTCAGGTCAAACCTTCAACCTTCAACCCGTCGACGTGTCGCGTCCGCAAACGAGAAGCTTTTCTTTTTTTCAGTTTCGGCCGCTTTGTCTCGGGGAGAGCGGACGGATTATAGATTTTCAATTTGGCCTCTCGGTTACAGTGTGTGTGTGTGTGTCTCTGGCAGCGACGTCGCCTTAACGAGCTCATTACCTCGTTAACATCGTTAAGGGCCAGTTAATTGTTTGTCCATTAGCCATTAGCGGGGCTCAGCGGAGAGCTAACGAGGGACTGCAGCGGTCACACAGAAAAACACGGCGACATCCATCACTGTTTAACCGCAGACACGCTCATTTGTTTCTGCTAAACCGGCTCCACGCGCGCCGACCCGACCCGCTGCACTCGGCGCCGCTCGACCATCAGCAGCAGTTCTGGGATTAAACGTCTTTTAAAGTGTGATCGATTCGACGGGCGGCGCTCGGCAAAACGCTGAAGCGACGTCTTCGTAAATAAGACGCAGATTTGTCACCGAAACGAGGCGAACTGGGCTCAGCGTTTCTGTCTGACTCAGGAAAACTTTGTTCCCACAGTTCTGATCGTCAGCTCCATCGTTTTTCTGAATGTTTCAAGTCTTAAAATGGTGACAAACTGCCGGAAAAACACAGTTCAACATTTAGAAGTTCTTCTTCTTCTCACTAAAATCATCTGGTCCTGCCTTCACCATATGAACTGGACACAGTTTGGACCATTATGAACCATTTTTGAGTCATTTTGGACAAATTGTGAGCCTAATGCTCATACTTTATGCCATTGTTTGGTCATTTAGGACAACTTTGGACCATTATGCACCATTTGTGAGTCATTTTAGGACGAAATTTGAATAATTGTGGACATGTTTTTGCTATTTAGGATGCATTTTAGACCATTGTGCACCATTTTTGAGCCATTTTAGGATGAAATTTAAGCAATTTTCGACAAATATTTGACATTTAGGACACATGTCGACTCATTTTGGACCATTATGAACCATTTTTGAGACATTTTGGACAAATTGTGAGCCTTATGGATGTACTTTATGCCACAGTTTGGTCATTTAGGACAACTTTGGACCATTAAGCACCATTTGTGAGTCATTTTGATAAATTCTGGACTATTTTGTGCCATTTTTGAGTTTTTCAATAAACATTTTGAATCATCATTGTGGAAAAATTAAAGTAATTTCAGACAAGACTTATTCTAACTTATTTTTGTCATTTAGAGCAAATTGTGAACCATTACTGACCATTTGAGAATCATTTTAGGACACATTTCGAGTAATTTCAGACAAATTCTTTTCATTTAGGGCATTTTGGACCAATATGGACCCTTCATTTTATGAGTTATGAAGGTTTTTGAGTCATTTGTATTATTTTTGGTCATTTAGGACACATGCTACCTCAATCTGGACATTTTTATTATGATTCAAGACAAATTTTAGTTTGAGTTATTTAGGACACATGTTGAGTCATTCTGGACTTCTTTTTTCACTCAGGACAAATCGTGGCCCATTTTTGACCATTTTGTGAATCATTTTAAGGACAATTTGTCATGTTGAATGTTTTTGGATTATTTTGCACAAATTTTGAATCATTTTGATCCTTTCATGAACAATCTTATAAAATTGCATCTCTCTGCAGTATGAAGCCTGATTCTTTGTATTTCACTACATTTAGAGGTAAATTCATTGTTTTTTGGGGATTGTTTGGAATCTGGAAACATCAGAACCATTAAAATGACGATAAACAGTCAGAAAATGCTGGAAACCACCTCCAGAGTCTCCACCACAGACTGAACCACCGTAAACCTCAGCAGGTAGAAACACTCGATTCCCTTAGTGCCGCCATAAAGACCTTCACACTCTCTGTGACATTTATGTTCACATTTAAGGCCTCAAAGCTTTTCAAGACGTCCAGAAACATTTCAATCTGCCGGGAACATCTTCCTCTCTCTGCCGTTAACCTTCTTTATCCGTCTGGTTCTGTTTCATACGGATCCACAGTCGACTCCAGGATACGTTTAATGCTATAAAAACTTCCTCCCAGTCGTTGTTTAACCTCTAAAAACTCATTTCTGTGTGTCAGAGTTTCATATTTATACGTATTTTCCATTAAAATACTCCCATCCTGCTGCAGCAACTTGTTTGAAAGATATTTTATAGTAAAATCTGCCAAAATTACACCATTAGTTATGAACACAAACTACAAAAACAGAAAAATCCTTCAGTTTTTCAACTTTCAGAAGGTCCTTGAACTACTCATGTGCATCATGGAGCTTCATCAGGAAAATTAATCAAATTCAAGGTGAAAGTCTCATTTAATAACTCACCAACTAGATCCGGTACAGTTTTAAAATCGTCTGCGGACGCTCAGAGAACCGTCGGACACGTTGATCCCAGATTTACGTTCAGGAGGACGAGGACTCTTTGGATTAACTTTGCAGCAGGACGAGCGTCAGAGCTTCTCGTCCTCTAAACGTCTTCGGCTGCAGCAGAAGGTCGAAGCTTCTGGATAAT